TGTGGGACAGGAACAGATCATACCATGAAAACTTGTGGGGATAAAATTAACAGCACGCAGAAGTTAGCAGAGTTCATTCAAGAGAAGGTGGGTGAAACTTTAGAGAGACTGTTATGTGTTTGAATGTCTGAATAACAGTGGAAATATTTTTTTTCTCTTTCATATCATCCCTAGTTATCTCTAGAAGCATATTATTTTACAGTCCTGTTCCGCAAGTACATTAATTACAATAACTGGATAATAACTAAGTTCTAACCCTGAACCTAACTCTAACCATGTAGTTATCGTATATTACCCAGTACTTTCCTAGTTAAGTACACTGTAAGTACACGTAAGTGCACGTACTGTAAAATAAAGTGCAACCAAACAGATAGTCTATAAATTCATGTTTGAAGCCATTGACAATAAATACACACCTGTGACCCCACATTCTATATCAGGGGTGTTCAAACCTGTTCTTGGATGGCCACTGCCCTGGTGAATGTCCTAGAGCCTTAAAACACCCCTGAATCTGCTACTCAAGGTCTTCAGGATTACTACAGTAGAAACTTGCACACAACTGTGTTGGAGCTGTTTGGAGGTAAAATCTGCAGGACATTGGTCCTCCAGGAGCAGGAATAGACACCCTATTCTATATGAATGCACATGGTTACAGTGTTACTTGGCAACTGTAAGCATCCTAATGAACTATATTATGTTATTTAATGTAATAACTATAAAAAAATTGTCATTATTAATAATTCATGTGATAATTAGAAATTAACTTTATTATTAGAAATTACTATTATTTCGAAATTAATTTATTAATTTAATCTTTTTTTATTTTGTGTATTCCAGAATATATCCATATAATAATAAATATAATTCTTTATCAGTCTTTTATCATGCTGTTGGTTAAATTAATAAATAAGTAAAAAAGGTTAAAAAAAATTACAGTGATTCTACAAAAGGTAAGGGAGGTTCTAGGCAATCCACATGGTAAAGTACAGTATGAGTGGTAGATTAGGGTTGTACATTAAAGTACATTTGCCTTCAAATCTTGTGTAAAGTAAATAGTTTGTAGCATCACCTAACCGACATTGCAGAATATTTTGTATTAACATGATAGGTCAGCTTACATTTAAAGCATCAAATTTCCCATTCAGTGAGATTATTTTTTTTATCTGTATGTGTAGATTGATCGATTGATCGTAGCTTTAATAATGTTTAGCAAACTGTGTATTAATCTTGAGCCATATTTATATGCAAATTCTCTAGTTTGGTAAAGTACAGTATGAGTGGTAGATTAGGGTTGTACATTAAAGTACATTTGCCTTCAAATCTTGTGTAAAGTAAATAGTTTGTTGCATCACCTAACCGACATTGCAGAATATTTTGTATTAACATGACAGGTCAGCTTACATTTAAAGCATCAAATTTCCCATTCAGTGAGATTATTTTTTTTATCTGTATGTGTAGATTGATCGATTGATCGTAGCTTTAATAATGTTTAGCAAACTGTGTATTAATCTTGAGCCATATTTATATGCAAATTCTCTAGTTTAGAAGAGGTGTGTGTGTGTGTGTGTGTGTGTGTGTGTGTGTGTGTGTGTGTGTGTGTGTGTGTGTGTGTGTGTGCCTTATGACCTTAGCTGCCCAAGCAAACAGTGAATGAATGTTTGAAAGCCTGAAGGGCTGACGCATTGACACCAATTACTAAAACAGGATGAGCTCTTTGAACTTTGACTCAATGACACTAAACACAATGTCAGACACAGATCATGTTATTGGCATTATGCCATTAAACCATCCTTATCTTTCTGATTACCTAAACACAATTTTTTATGTTTGTAAGCCCCGATGGTCAGACTTTAGTTTGGGGGACCAAATGTCACTATTAACCAGTGTTCGAATTGTGTCAAAGCTCTTGGGGGGTCCCCCTA